CAAGGTACTTTGTGGAGAGTTCACCCGTGGGTTTTCGTGGGCAATACAGCCAGGCTTTGAAATCTTCCAAAAGACTTTCACGATGTTTCAAGATCTTTCAAACTTACTCCCGGTTGTACTTGATGCACTTGTGGCATTTGTGGTACCGTGTTTTCCTGTGTTGAGATTTGGCACCTGACCCAGGGACGATCCATTGTGGAACTGCTTCTGTTGCCAAGCCCTGATCCACGCTTGAAGAAGAACTTGCTGAATCGAATTGGCTTGGCACTTGTTGGGACATGTCGGGGCATGTCGAGGCATGTCGGGGCATGTCGGGGCATGTCGGGACTCGGGAGTAGGACTCCAGAGGAGTTTACTGACTTTGGGCAAGGGACACTCTCTTCAATTCTTGCTCCCTGTTGACTTGTGCCTTCGGAAGCCTATATATACGTATATTATAATATACTGAGTGAACGATGTCATAGACTCAATTCGTTCTTAGTTAAAGATGTTAAAGAACAGCCTGCAGTAGGAAGTAGCCTGACAATTTCGCCGGATGGTTGATTTGCAGACGTCCATTTAACCGTGGACCAGACTTTAAGTATTCCAACAGCAATTGTACGTCGAATACATCACGCACCTTGTACACCATCAATCTTACACTTTGTAGGATTTTGCAGGCCTGTAGAGGGTCCATTCCACCACAGTGTGCTGTCGCAAAATCAAGGTTGATTTGGATTAGACAGTTGGTAACCGCCTTTGATCCTTCGGATTGAATTGTAACTATGTTGCACTACGTACAGAGCTGTATATGTGGAGATAAGAGAATGCAGATCTATCATAGGGAGGATGAAATGCATTGAGTCAGGTGTCTTGACAAGGAAACAGACAGGTAGCAAACTTGAACTTTACGTTGAAATAGCACACGGAGTAAATTTCACACACCACAGGCAAAGCATTAGCATGGCATGGAGCAACTTTTTATTTCGAGACCAAGGCCCACTCAATCTTGCCGTTGCCTTTGACATGCTCTTGTGAGAGTGCAATGAGGGTCGTTTGGCGACAGCTCCATGACATCAGGGTTTTGGGGCTTTGCTCGGCTTTCCAGATATCATTGCCCAGCATTTCTGGCATTGCCGGCATTGCGCCTGATGCTGGTGCTCCCCTTGCCACAGCAGTCCTTGCAACATGTAGAGTGACTCTTGCTGAAAAGGTCGTGCAGCACTACAATCGATGCAGATGTTTGGCTGCGCCAGATTTGAAGAGACTTGACACCTTCTATGAGGTTTCATGCAGTTTCACAAACAAATGATACCGGTTTGTTCTATACTCGTATATGAAATTAAAGCAACTTTTGATGATTCATACATATTCATACAATATACACAATTGATCAACATTGATCAAACTTGTACAATCTTGTACAAATATGTTGACAGTTCGCTCTTTTGCTCCTTGCTCACCTCTCACGAGATGGTGCCGGATTCATGGGATTCATTTTCTGCCAGGTCTTGCGCTCACTTCCTCGCCAGCCACGAGGATCCTAAGTCGCAATGGTAGAATATATTGAATGTGATATTTGTGATAGGATCATTGAGAATCATTGAGAATCAATGCAATACAAGCCGTGAGCCACTAGCCCCTAGCATACCTCAGGGTGGTCCAGAATCTTCACAGCCCATCAAATATTTGGCCAACACCACTATAGAAACAGTACTATAACTGACTATAATTACAGGTGTAATTATGCTTTATGATACTATCTCTCTCTCTCTATATATATATATATATATACATGCATTACTTATAAGCGTCAGACATTCAAATTATTTCAAATTAATGCTTGGTAAAGCTTGGTAAACATGCTGAGTAGAAGCCTAACTGGAACTCAGTTTAGCTTAGATAGTTGGATCAAAGAATCTGGGGATTGCTGGCTTCACTTTTGGAGATGGTATGTTGTCTCGTACATTTTATGCAGCTTGTTTAGATCCTATTCTGATTCTTTGTCAAACCACACACACATATATATATATATATATACATGTATGTATTTATATATTTCACCTTCTCCATTTTCCATAATTCAATTGGAACTGACGCTTGAGTTTCTAGCACGCTTCTGTACTCCATGTTCCTTGAGTCACCTTGACACATGCTCTGTCAATCTTTGCCACCAGTTTTCTATTGTCTAGTTGGGTTGATACTGTTACGGTAGATACGACATGATACAACTAACTATAATTAATGGGGATCATAAACCACTGTGTAATTGGGGACCGACCTTGTTGTTGTTTAGTCTGCTAAATGAAGCTTCAAGATGCTTCAAGTATATTCAAGCACTGATTGTAGCAGAAGCAAGACTGCGAATGCACGAAGTATTTGCAGGCAACGATAAGGTAAGAAGTAGCGAGTCTTGAGAGTCTTGAGAGTCTTGAGAGTCTTGGCCACATCCGCAGGCACGGACCAGCCTAATGTGGGACACCGCTCCAACATTCACACTCTGGAGGCATGACGTGAATGACGTGTTGGGAATACGTTGGAATCCATTCCTGCAACTCACGCAACGCATCACCGTCACTTTTGCAGCATCTTGTGTCATGTCGCGCCTGTTTTTTGAACGTGCATGGTGGTTTGGCTTTCGAATTTCTCGGAATCACAGACTCTACAACTGAATAGGAACAGGTTGAATGGACAGCTTAATGTCATACCATTCTCAATGAATGGCAAGACATGCTGTTGACATCCCTTTGCACCGAAAAAACATGTGCGGCAACTCTGAAGTTTGAGCCGATGAGTCGAAGAGTCTAAGATAGTCTAAGGGGATGTTTGCATAGGAAAGCAAGCTACAAGAGGATTGTAATGGATTGTACGATGATGCTTCATTATTCTGGAAGAGATATGAAGAGATATTGTAAGTACAAGTGGGGCTTGAAGGGCAGCAACGATCTTGGTTGCATAGTCGTTTCACTGAGATAGATATGATCATATTCCAGAAAGTTGGAATCATCTGGCCCGGTCCGTTTACAGTAGCGGTTGGCAGAGATGCAAAGTTTAAATACTAGATTTGGGCACAATTTTACACCCACTGTAAACATTCAATTTATATCAATTTATTATTATGTGGATGTAATATAAATATGATAGAGTACTCCGGGGCTTCGTACAAGTTCCTTCAACGTTGGCTGCAAGCACCTCCCGCTCTTCAAACGGTGTGTGGGAGCTGTCTCGGTCTTTAGTTCATGGACTCGCATGGCATATGTCATCTGTAGTAGTATCTCAGACTTTGTAAGCAAAATGTGAATGTTATGCGTATATTCTGAAACATCATGCCTTCAAGGTTTCTTGCAGTGCAGCTCTAGCGCCTGTATAACCTAATTATGTAATTATGGTGCCTGGTTTTGACCGAAACAGAACTCATATGTTTTGAAGCTTGTCACTTTCCCTTGCAACCATCGATCATCGATCGACTGTGAGGGGAAGATCTGGATTTGAGGTTTCATGGTAACAATCCTCACAGCGTAGCATATTTCTGCAGGAAGAGTGCCGCTTCAACCCGGGAAAACTCGAGAAGATCAGGCGCTTGGCACAGGCCGAATTCAGCCTTGTGGGGGTTTCATGAACCAATTCGAACTAACATAGGCCCTTGTTCGAAGTGCTTTTGGGGTCCAACAACGACATGTCTAAAGGAGATACTCGATCCCTGTGTGTTTTCTGTTGGGGATGTTGGCGTGGTCCATTTGATACTGTCATGCTCTCCGCTAAATATTTGTTGCTCACAAGAGACAATATGACATTTCCTGCCATAACATGATGACTCGATGTTTAAACAGGAGGTTTCATATGGGAGTCGTTCTAAAACCCATGCAAGACTTTTAGTATCCGAGTGACATTTGCAGATATGGACGTGTGTTTTTGCTGCAGGGGCGAAAGGGTCGCGAAAGGGCGGCGTAAGGGCAGTTTTGGGGAAGCATAATTTTGAACAACCCCCATATCCGAAGGATGCCCCCTGGCTCCTCGCTATTTGCTTCATTTCCAAGATGGTGGATTAGATCGGACTGAAATCTGATGAAATCTGGTTCTGTGGACAGGCGTACTGTGACTGGCGATCTGTCCGTGGCGATGGGAACTGCTACTACCGCACATTTGGCTGATTTTGGCTGCAGATTCTTTTGGGTTTGTCCCGATAACCAAGCCTTCTGTACAGGTCCACCAGTAAGGTTCAGGAGCAAGTCTAAGCGTCATTTCAAAGCTACCAGTATGCGCAACCAGGCTTTGAAATTTTGGGAGGTCTGGAAAACATTGAAAAACAGGAGTGCCAGGATTTGCCAGATATTTTAAAGATGCTTGTGTGCTTTGTTCAGACATGTTCAGACTAGAAGCTGTGTTTGAAGCCAAGGCACAGTTATTTTCGGAGCTTTGGAGGCACTCGGTTTTTACTTTGCATGATTTTGACGGACCATATGATACGGACCATATGCCTTGCCAGTCCTTTGTTATACAATGTCATAGTGTTCGTCATATGTGTCACATGCCTTCTGTTTTCGAAGAACCTTCGGTTGAATGTTTGCGTAGACAAGAGCAGACAAGAACATAGACCAGCAGACACGAGATATCACGAGAGATGATATAGAGATTATATAAAGATGATATAGAGATGATATAGTGAGAGGCATTTAGATTCCAATAGATGCGAGGCCTTGATGGTCAACCATGACCACCAGCGCTTGAATCAAATCATGCTCTCTTTGCGCCAGGCGATTTCCTTTGTGTGTGCTTTGAACAACTTTGAGCAACTTTGAACTACGCAAGTCTGTTGGTCTTCATTTTCGAGTTTTTTTTTCCTTCGCAGGTGCAATATGAATGTGTGGCCGAGCAGAAGTGCCACAACCAGATGCTTCAAATCATGAGGACTCTTTGCAAAAGGGACTCAATTCGCATATATATATATATTTATATATATATAATATATCATATAGGTCCTGCATAGGTTGAAGTGAGTGACTTTTCCGATGAATCCGTTGCAGGAATTGGAGATGTCCAGACCAAATAGAGCAATGGGTGGCACAAGACGCGACTTTGGATCAGGCATGGATCAGCACCAAGAGAGGTCTTGCAGACTTGCTAATATTGCCCACATGTGATATATTGTGATATCATGATGCGATGCTAATGCAACATTCCTTCAGGCATTGATCCGAGCGTGCCGGCGGTTGGTGCGACAGTTCCTAATGAAGATTGGGCCTCGGAGAGTGGTCTATGGGAGAGCAAGACACACTTGGAGTTCACAAAGCTCTGACAACAGGTATGAGAAGTTCTGACAAGTTTGACATGTCAAACATTTGAATCGTACAATCTTTTAGAATTGTAGTTCTCTAAGTGTTTTCAGGGTGTCACAACAAATGAGATTCTTGTTTGACAAGTTCTCCATAGACATCGAGCGTACTTTGACTTGAGCAATGCTGCTTGCAATGCTGCTTGCAATGCTGCTTGCAATGCTGCTTGCAATGCTGCTTGAGGCGAGCGAATGAAAAGTCTCCAAGCGGCCTCACGTGCTCCGCTGAGTAGAACTCCAGATTTTCCAGATGTATCATGACGTGATACACTGATACATCCATTTTTAATTTATCCAATTTTATCCACATTCCCAACTTGCAGGCTAGGTCTGTCTGAGAGGTCTCTCTGACAGATCTCTCCAAAAGCTGTTCACACAGGTACAATCAGCTGGTGAAAGCGCTCGACAGTAGATACACCTGCATGGAGGCTGGGCATGGCTGGACAGTGATGGGCTATGGGCTTTGAAACATTTTGAAACTGAGGACTTCTGCCGACATATTGTTGATCCCTTGGGCAGGGATGCTCGGCCCTGAGCTATCCACAGGGTTATTGTCGTCTTGCTGACAGGCGGCAAGAGCGCAGTAGTTACAGGTTCAATCAATCTACCAAAAGACATGTTGGAACCAGCTAGGTAGCAAGGTTCGCACCTCTTGACTGTCTTGGCAACGCATCGGATAGCACCGCAATTTTTGGAAGCTGCTATTTTATTTTCTAGCTGTGGGATGCTGTGGGATGCTGTGGGCACGAGGCAGAGACATTGGCCCTAGATGCCCTTCCACAACAGCTGGGCATCGGCTTGCGAATGTGGATCCTGGACCGACGTGATGAGGCCTTGTATTGAATGCTCCACTATCATCCACATTCATCCACTACTCATCCACTATCCTCATCTATGTAATCTATGTAATCTATGTAATCTATGTAATCTATGTAATCTATGTATATCTATGTATCCTCTATTCTATTCATCTCTATCCTTTGATTGTGGTCCCATTGCTAGACAGTGCTGTGATGTGCTGTGAGAAGAGTCGCGAGAATCAGGTGTCACTAGTTTTTGCCTGTCGCGTATATATAGTGCAAAGTACAAATTGATACGTATAAATTGCCTCAAATTGCACAGAGTTGCAGATTGTGCTTTAGAACTCACAGAGTCGAAATATGGAGGTAGACCTACTTGTTGTAGTATTACGTGTAATTATGTGCAATGAAATAGATTGCATTTCACTGTATTGAATCCTATCATCAGGTAAATCTTGTCAGCCTTGACACTCCGGGACCACAAAACGAGGCTGGGTAGAGTGTGCACTGGCCCGTTTGCGGAGAAATGCTTGCTTACATATCTCTGTATAGTCTGTAATCTGTATCTATACGCAGAAGACATAACAATAAGATATGAACAGAATTGAACATGCTTACACGGCTTCTATTTGGGTATTGGCTCTGGTGGACTCGTAGCATGTATCATTTGTCCTCGTCAGGTCGATGTGCACGTTTTGTTCAAGCCTGGCCATTATGACCTGCTGTATCCAGGCTGTTTCAACGTGGCAAACCCAATTGGGGGATTTCCTTGCTGGGATCGGTTTCCAAAAGCACCAATAGGCATGGGGGGGATTGTTTTTTTTTTTGCCAGGGAGGAACTGAACAAACACACTTGCCACTCTGACTGGTGCTTTCGGATGTTTCAGCTTTCTGTTTGTAATGTGTGCAGGGATTCGACAGTGACTGGCTCTGAACCGTATGCACTTGAATCACTGTGCCTGAATTCGTCAGCTGGCACGAGTTTGCTATCTATACAGGGTGCAAATCTAAGAGAGTATCTGAAAGGTGTTGAATCCTTTAAGCTGATACGGTAGGAGTAGAAGTTCGCAACCTTTTTCTAAAGTTCAGCTTTGTTCAGCTGGAGGAAGAGTCATGGGATACAGCAGTCATCAAGGCTCTCGCTTGAACGGTTGCAGCAGGTCAAGGTGTTTTTGATTTTCAAGAGCCATCGTTCAATTTAATTAGTTTTGTTTTTTGAACCTTACTCCACAGCATTTACAGGGTTTATGGCCCAACCGGAGGCGTTTAGAATTGTACAGATTGATTTGCTGGGCCATGGTGGCATGGCCGAGTTTTGACCAAGCTTTCTGATTTTTTCACGATGACTTTTTATGACTCATGATTTTTGTTTGTTTGTTCATTGTGTTTCAACGCTCACGACTGGATCACATTGAACCTGAATATATTGTTTGTGCTGAGTGTGAAGCTCTGTGTGGTCATAGGACAGAGCAATTTGCACCCGTTCCAAGCGCTTGGTTTGGCAGACTTTAACCGATCTGCCTTCATCAAGCAGCTGTTCCAAAAGTGCTTTTTGCACCTTTTTGCAGAAGTGTTTGTTGCTTAGGCCATTGGCCAATTTGAATCTGCGGCTTTTTCATTTTGCCGCAGTGTTTCCATCTTTTCAGCATGAAGGGGCGCTCACAGCAATACAGACAGATCATTATATAATTACTGGGAGACGTCCTCAATGCTGACGCTTAGGATGAATTCGCAGTCTTGGCCTTCTCGACCTACAGTACTGGTCAAGAGGAAAAAGTTGTGTATGGTTGCGTGCAATGCCAGGACAGAACAGCTGAACAGTCTGGGTAGTATAGGATAGTGTAAGTGTAATTAATTATAGAAGATAATATAAGATATATAAGTATGCTTAAGAACTCCATAGAACTCCCAAATACCTGATCGGCACTGATCAGCCAAACCCAGATGAAGACCCGGCCAAGGCCCACATTCTGACAGCGCTCCACCCACGTACGCAGCATGTGGTGTAAAGCTGAGACTCCAACACGACAGGACGATGGCAGATTGATGGATCAGATATTCAGATAGCCAGAAGCCGGAGTGGATTAGAAAATATCAGAAAGAGCCAGAAGGCAAAAATAATTCTTCAGGGCTCGATTGCTCGATCATCATCCTGTGAGAACATGTGAGAACCAAGCTGAACTGGGCTTCCGCTGGATGGCCGCACACTTTCTTGCAGGACTTTCAATCTCCCTATATACATCTACATACCATCTCCAGCGTTTGCAGAGGAGTTGATTTGTGTGAGTTTGAATTGCCTTCTGGGATCAAGGTTACACTACAAAAGTACTAGCTTATTGGCATCAGGTCTTTCGTCATTTTTAGCAGATTTCAGGCTTTGGCCAAGAATTCTAATCCTGAGCAGTCTGAGTATTGTTCTACTTGCCGTCGGAAATTTGGGCGGTGATTAGCAACCGGCGAACGCAAGTGCACCGAGGTCCTTATTGGAGACCACCAACAACTTCGACCTTCAACAGCTGCCAAGCCCTCAAGATCCATCAAGATGCTCAAACTCGCTTCATCTCGCTTCACTTTCCCTGTAGCCAGCATTCAACAGTTCCGATTCCTTGAAGCCGGACTCAGCAAAACACATGGCACTAATTGGCACTATCTAAAGGATAAATATACGTTATAAGATGTTATACGTTGATATAAGTTATACGATACGTATCAATTATATAGTTATATAGAATTATGAAATATGAATTAACAACTATTGTTTGTCCGGATAGAACCTCATGGGAAGCAATTCTGTGCCCTGGCCGGGGCCTGGGCGTCTGCTGTACTAACTGTAGCTGTTGTGCCCCTGGGTTCTCCGGGCCCTCAGCTGTAGTTCTTGTGCCCTTGGGTTTCCAGCGCCGCAGTATGCCGCAGTTGCTGGAATCACACTGGTGTGTTGGGTTATATGTATTATTTATGTATTTATGTATTTATTTATATTTATTTATATTTATTTATTTATTTATATATATATATGATACACATATGATACAGTATATTATATACATATATATATGTATTATACATAGAATTACATAGATAAATTACAGTATATATCTAGTTGCTCAGCACTTTGCCCCACAACATGTGTAAGTTTTCTGTGCTGGGGCCATGGAAAAGCTGAATACCTTATCCCGACAGATCCAAGTCTAGATTCCAAATTCGTTTATGTCGTCCCCTCATCCCCTTATTGCGTAGTTTCATATTATGCATTCGGACATCATGTGTATTCATTTTTGAGGTTTATCGCTTGTCCAAGCAGTTTCATTTGGACGTGTCACTCTTCGAGCGGTTGATCCACAACGGAGCTGACCATGCCACTCGCCCAAGTTCGTTTCCACACTCCGAGCACCAGGGATTGCCGCACTAAAAATAAGTTGGAGTACAACTTCAGACTTTGTAAAATAAGTTGGACAGATGAAAGAAGCCTCAAGGGTCAAGAATGTGACACAGTCAGTCAAAAATCCGTGTTGGCTCTGAACGTACAATATCAGGTGCTTCGGTTTTTGTATGTGTTATTTGTCGTCCTTTTGTCATTCTTGTTATTGTCTTCCTGGATATTCATAGCATCTCGTAGCCTTGTGTAGACTGTGCCCAGGTCACTCTGCTTCAGCAGAGACGAATGCATCCGAAGATATCTCGCTTGATCAAGCCGCATCACACTCAGCAAGTGACACTACGGCCATCCACTGATTGCAGAACCTAACCACAAACATGTGCAAGGGTGGCCGCACCATTCGCGGTGCGTACGTCCAATGCAAACTCCTACAAAGCGTTTTTTTTTGGTATTGCCTTGTTTTAGATAAGACTCATTGCACTGTATACAATCAGAAAAAGTCACGAATTGCACAAAGATGAGGCAAGCTTCAAAAGACCTTGGGCATACTGGCATTCATAATCATTTATATCCATTCCCTGAGACATAAGAAACATACAATGCAGCAGTTTGGTTTTTGCATTCGCCATGGGTGTTTGAAGAGCAATCGACCAAACAGCGTCTTAAAATAATATGTGATAGCTGAATATAGATTTTGTGACATTTTCGTGAATTCGTGTAATGCATTTTCATTCCAATTGTCCAGCATGCCATGCGTTCTGCTAGTTTCCCTGGTATAGAAGATTTTTGCTTGTTTTTGATTGTTTTTGGCCATTCAAGTTCTGTCAATTTGACGTGACTCTTGATACATCGGTCCAAAGGTATTATCCTCAACTTCGGGACCATTCCAGCACTGAGAGGTGCCAAAGGGACAACTCGTGAAAAGAAATGGTAGCATTTGTAACTGAGTGGATCCGAAGTGCTTTTGACGTTTATGTTGTACGCAAATCTGCTTTGAAACCAATTCCAAAACCACACTGAAGATCATGTTGATCGAAGCATCACAGTTCAAGTTTCCCAAATATTCTCAAATACTGTATGTTTCCGTTATTCTACCCTTCACTTCTACAAAAACTGTGCGCCAAGTCAGCACATCTGCTGGTCTTCTCCCTCGGAGGTATCCGGAGATTCGAGGCATCAATGCAAGAAGCTACTTCATGACGCACTTCCACTTCGAGGCATTGCTATGGCATTGCTACAGTACACGATCTACACGCATCAAGCATTTACCCGCACCACATGCAAATAGACTCGGCTTTTGGAAGTACTGGGCAGACACTGGTAGCTTGCTGTTTGCCGTTTCTCCTGGCAGGTCTAGGAGTAGGATGCAACATGATGCAACCCTTTCCCAGTTTTCTCCTGTGCCGCGGTGAGGACGACGAGGGAGAAAGTCATTCCCATTTAAACACATTTGAGGCGTGCTGACTGTAGCCTATTGGACAAGTAGTCTGTCATGACATGTCATGACCCTCGAGGGTTCGCAGTGGAGTATAGCAGAGATTTGAAAGGCAATATTTGATGATATATGATTTGTATCATCAGCAATGCTCTCGAACACATGTGAAGCAGGCGAACTTTGTAAGCGCTTTGTGTGCGCATTTGGTCTCATGTGGCTATGAGGCAGGGGATAGGTTCATTTCCTTTAAACATTTTTAAATCCACAGTGCATTTTTTTGCCCTTGTCATTGTTTAAACTTTGTGAAGACGGCAACACACAAATGCATCTGTGTGACTTCCCATGCGGCCTTGGCCTCAGGAGTCGCAGATCACGGTGCTATCACCATATTTGGGCCAGGCAAAAGGGCAGGTGCGAGTACTTAAGGAATCTTAAGGATACTTATTAAGGTTTCTTAAGGTTTTACATGATTTTCATTGATTTTCCCTCCGACATAAGGCGCGGATTGGAGCCTTAGTGGAGATGCAGTGAACGCAAGATTATGATAGATTATGTAAGTATCATGGCTACGCACCATGGACATGTTTTGAGTCGTAAAGTAAAGTGCTTTCAGACTTGATTTTTTCTTACAGATGACAAAGGATTCTGCCGACATTTCCACTATGGTAAACTAATGTAAACTATATGGTAAACTGATCAGCATGCAACGAATTGTATCGAAGAAGCATGAACAAATGTAGTAACAATGCAGTAAGACAGCTGCAATTGACCTCCATGGCCACAAAAGCATGCCAGATGCAGCACACAGAAATACACAGAATAATCATAGGCCAAAGACTTGTTGGTCTGTCACAAGCCACACTTGCTTAAAATATCTTAAAATATATTTTATCTTACTCAGCGCAACCAGGTCGAGTCAAAAAATTGTGGGGTTTGAACATATTATTGAAATTTATTGAACAATTACCCGTGTACCGCTATGTTTTTTGGGCCAGCGCCCACGTGTATTTCAGAATTTGCAGAGTGTGAGAGGAGCGCGCTAAGGCAGAGGCAAACCGAGCAACACCTTGGCTGGGCCAAAGCAAACCGGAACCACTGAAACAGCCTGGAGGATTGACGCAGTCCGCATAGTACAATCGAAAATTGGCAATCAACTGACGGAAGAACATGACAAAAAGATACAAAAAGCAGGTTAAAACATGGCTGAGCTTCGCAGTCATCTCGCCATCATGCGAAAGATTCGATCGCTTGAACCATATCAGAACAATTCAAAACATGGACATGTTTGAATAAAGAATGCATAGCTCTCGGACACCCCTCCACCCCTAGAACCCCATCCACACACACACCATTGGAATCATGCAAATGCGCTTAAATCATCTCAATTTGCTCAGATCATCCCCTGTCTTGACGTCAAGTTGCATTTTCAACATTTTAACTATTTATGACTCATTTAGAAGACTTACGATATCCCTGACTAGAACATTTATGCGCATTTGGTTTCCGAGTGGAAGCCAACTGCCTTCAGGTGCGTTTGTTGAAGAAGAGGATCCAGCGTGATCCAACAACGCAGCAAATCGCTGTGACAGCTGTTGATAATTTCCAGGCTCGACGATCGATTTTGCAATATATTTTATGTTCAGAACTTCCAAACTCCAGGTCTCAGGAGATCTCAGGAGGTCACCATATCTTGTCAATTGCCTGCCGCTCCCAAAGGGTGAAGAGAACGACATCATTGTCATATCATTGGTCCGTTCCAATAGGTGCGCTTTGGTGCAGATTCTGCATGCTGTTCGTGTTTCACATGCTGGGACTTGGTCAAGGTATTTCGCAACAGATGGACCATGATAGACCGATAGACTTCAGCAGCGCGATGGATGATTATATAGTATAATTTACAAATAAAAATAAAATTATATATATATACAGTATGTATATAATCATTTGTTCTGGTCATCTGATTTGGAGCCTCAAGTTCATGTTGACTGGTAAACTGAAAAATCATGAACAAGAATGAACAAGACACGAGACATCTTTTCTGTCAGTCCTCTACAGCAACTTCAATCGTTACTAAAAAGGGACATTGCACTTGCCATAGACATTGCTTATGGATTCGCAAGTTAACAAGCCTGAAAAGCTCTTCAAAGAGAAAGCGGCCTCAACGACTATATATATATAGAGAATTACATTACTGGAGGAGAATTAGAATTCTCTTCTCCTCACTGTCCTTGAATTCTTGAAGCGCTTGAAGCCTTCTGAATTTAACGTTCGTTGTCCATCAATGTAATTTATGATTGAGACATTGTTGAGCCAGCTTTGGGGCATCGCTTTGCCACTTGGTTTAGCAGTCCAGATAATTGGAATATTTGGAATTCCTTTCGTTTGCAAAGACAACTTTGACACCTGCCAGGGCTCGTCAAATGGGCTTCCTTGCCGTTGGAAGCTTTGCTCTTTGCTGAACCGCAAAGGATGTATTTTTGGTATCCAGACAAGTGACACGTCCTTGACGAGGTGGAGAATCGAATCAACGTGGCATTGACCCGTGCGCGCCATGGTATATTCATTGTTGGCAATGCAGTCTTCCCCTCAGCTGCACTTGACGTCTCACAACTGCAGCTTTGCCATATTGGAAAGTTATCGCGCCCATCTATCTTCGTTTTGCTCATCACTTGTTGATCAATCCTTTTTGCGATTGCCCGCCTTTTCCACGCTACTTCCTTGCAGACTGGTCAAATGCAACGAAACAAAAGGAAAAAGGATGAAAAAGGATGAAAAAGGCAGGAAAAGCAGCAGCAAAGCACAAAGGTGTGCCAAAGAAAGAACAAGATCCAAATGCACGCTCGGAAAAACATGAGCATGGCACGATATGGCACGGTTTATGTGGACATACAAAGCTAAAGTTGTGATAACACCGGCTCGTTTGGTAATTATTTGGTACAGCCGAGACAATTGACAGGATTTCAATGGATTTCAGACTAGTGTATACACCTATAATGCCCTTGGGTAATTATTTGGTACAACCGAGACAATTGACAGGATTTCAATGGATTTCAGACTAGTGTATACACCTATACGCAATATACACAGTCTTTCCATGTGCTAACTTTCACAAGCGAAGGGTAGTTTGCATCAAAATGGCGCCCAGTTTGGAAGCTCACTCTGTAGTGCTTACTGGGCGCAAAATCCATGTGCTGCAATTTGTGAGTATGAAACAAGAGTGAATGAGGCTGAGGCAGAGACACATTTCATGTCCAGACTTGCAGGCACCTATCACTCAAAAAGTGGGGTGCCCAAAAGTAATCAACAATTCACGGACGTGAGCTGAAGGCTATCGGGTAGAATTACTGTATCAAACAGGCCAAAAATGTGCAGACTCTTGGCACCAAAGCCCTGTGACAAATTCTCAGGCGTGATTTTTTTTGGAAACTCAACTCGCAACCTCTATCAGTGCCAGAAGGCGGAAGCTGGAAGCTCATTGAAAAGTTCGGCCATGTCTTAGCATGAATGCCTTTTAAATATATTGAAAGACTGGACTGGAATGCTTCCGAAAAACCGTCACCGCCAAAGGTCTTTGCTGAGCTCGCCAAACTTTGGACCCCAGCTTTTTAAAGTTCGACGTATTTGTTCTCGCGAATATTTTGGGTCAAAACATGTTAAAACTGTCTTTAGTGAGGCAGAAATCTTGGAATTTTAAATTGGTGACAGAAAGAAAAACATCAAGTGTGTTTTGGTGCTCCGAAACCTACCAAGCATCAAAACAAAATAGTGCTGCCTGTTCTTGAGATTCTGCCACTGAAACCACTTGCAGAAAGTCTACCAATTCGAAAGCAAGGTTTTTGCTGCCAAGACTTTGCCAATTCCACGAGCTGTTTTGCAAGCTTTTTATCCATGAGAAACTCGAAAAAACAAATCCCCAAAAAAACTGCCAAGAATTCTTGATGCAATTTGTTCACGCATGTCTTACGGCCAGCATTCAAACCCCCAAAAAAACAGAACGGGCAACCACCCAGAAGTGACATTCTGCTGGCTGGTGCCTGTTCTATGAACTTCTAAGCACATGAAGGGGAAGATTTGCACCCCACATGCTTGGGGAAGAATAAGTTCTTCAGCTTGTGGACTCTTAGCTTTTCAGGTTTCCTTCCAGGTTTCCTGTGAGTTGTCATGTTATGTTTCGTTTGATTTGTTTAGTGAGTTTTGTTGGAAAATCACCAGCCATAGGGCCATAGGGATTTATAGTTTGGAAGTCTTGGTGCCATTCTTGCAGCAGCAATTGAAACTTATACAAATAATATAATAATATATAATATATATATATTATAATATATATATATTAATAATAATAATATATATATATATTAATAATAATAATGATAATGATAATAATAATACTAATAATAATATTAATAATATATATATATATATTATAATTAATTATAATATATATTATATATATATATTAAGATTAATATTATATATATATATTATCTCAAATTTAGGGCTTCTGTACCGCGGTGCCACATGTTTGTGCATGAGATTCTTCACCCCGAGGACATGTTGGAGAAACACACACTTTGGAGCCAGATCCTGACTGAGCTGAAATCGGACCAGCTAGAAGCCCAAAGCAAATCTTGCAGGTGGAATGGGGAAGACAAACAGTCGACCACAGCCAACAAGGAAGGCTCCGGCAAAAGGTACAGTTTGACATTGCAAAGAAGTTTGCAAAACGGGCTCTTAGGAGAGATCTAGACTCTAGACAAAGTGAAAATTGTGGAACAAGAAGACCTAGATGCCAGATGATATCCAGATGATAAGAGGGGATAATGCCAGATCAGTTAATGTTGGTTCCTGATTAGTGTGTGCCCCCCCCCCAAACTATATCTGGACTCTCTTTAAAGTAGAAAGTCAAAAATTTTCTTCCCAAAAGAAAAACATATCCTCTATTAAGTAAGGATTTCAATTGGCTACAATTGAAATCTAATTACTATTGTTTTTTTTGCCGATGAAGTTGTGGTATTTGTAGTACTTGTAGTACTTGTAGTACTTGTAGTACTTGTAGTACTTGTAGTACTTGTAGTACTTGTAGTACTTGTAGGACTTGTAGTACATGTAGTACTTGTAGTACTTATAGTACTTGTAGTACTTGTAGTACTTGTAGTACTTGTAGTACTTGTAGTACTTGTAGTACTTGTAGGACTTGTAGTACATGTAGTACTTGTAGTAATTACATGTAGTACTTGTAGTACTTGTAGTACTTGTAGTACTTGTAGGACTTGTAGGACTTGTAGTACTTGTAGTACTTGTAGTACTTGTAGTACTTGTAGTACTTGTAGTACTTGTAGTACTTGTAGTACATGTAGTACTTGTAGTACATGTAGTACTTGTAGTACTTGTAGTACTTGTAGTACATTGTAGTACTTGTAGTTGTAGTACTTGTAGTACTTGTAGTACTTGTAGTACTTGTAGTACTTGTAGTACTTGTAGTACTTGTAGTACTTGTAGTACTTGTAGTACTTGTTTAGCTTATACTCAGCTAAATCTCAAGAGACACTGAACCAGCTCATGCCCAGCTTGCTGCAATAGTGAACCCAGCAAACAAACCTACTAAAGTGAAATGGAGCCTCTACTGGTCCAGGGCCTTGGAAAATTGTGGGAAAGCTGTTCTTTAATAAGGGTTTAATAAGGGATTGGTTCTTTTGGGAAAGGCTTGCAGTTTGAATTTGGCAATTTTGGAAATGGCTTGCTTCCCTTCTTCAGGGGCTGCTCTGGCACAGCTTGCTGCAATAGTGAACCCAGCAAACAAACCTACTAAAGTGAAATGGGGCCTCTACTGGTCCAGGGCCTTGGAAAATTGTGGGAAAGCTGTTCTTTAATAAGGGTTTAATAAGGGATTGGTTCTTTTGGGAAAGGCTTGCAGTTTGAATTTGGCAATTTTGGAAATGGCTTGCTTCCCTTCTTCAGGGGCTGCTCTGGCACAGCTTGCTGCAATAGTGAACCCAGCAAACAAACCTACTAAAGTGAAATGGAGCCTCTCCTGGTCCAGGGCCTTGGAAAATTGTGGAAAAGCTGTTCTTTAATAAGGGTTTAATAAGGGATTGGTTCTTTTGGGAAAGGCTTGGAGTTTGAATTTGGCAATTGCCTTTGGAAAAGGCTTGCTTCCCTTCTGGGCTTCCAGGGGCTGCTCTGGCACAGCTTGCTGCAATAGTGAACCCAGCAAACAAACCTACTAAAGTGAAATGGAGCCTCTCCTGGTCCAGGGCCTTGGAAAATTGTGGAAAAGCTGTTCTTTAATAAGGGTTTAATAAGGGATTGGTTCTTTTGGGAAAGGCTTGCAGTTTGAATTTGGCAATTTTGGAAATGGCTTGCTTCCCTTCTTCAGGGGCTGCTCTGGCACAGCTTGCTGCAATAGTGAACCCAGCAAACAAACCTACTAAAGTGAAATGGGGCCTCTACTGGTCCAGGGCCTTGGAAAATTGTGGAAAAGCTGTTCTTTAATAAGGGTTTAATAAGGGATTGGCTCTTTTGGGAAAGGCTTGGAGTTTGAATTTGGCAATTGCCTTTGGAAAAGGCTTGCTTCCCTTCTGGGCTTCCAGGGGCTGCTCTGGCACAGCTTGCTGCAATAGTGAACCCAGCAAACAAACCTACTCAATTAGAGATGCATTTACAGGCTCAGATAGGAGATGAGCAAAAAATTGACTGAGCTACAGCGTTTTTGAGAAAGAAATTGCCTCTCAGCAATTACAGTTTTTTTTCAAAAAAAAGGACTCTCCCAATTTTGTTTTGCCACAAAAGCGAACCCTCCAAACAATACATGAGTTTCAGAATAATTTGGAAAAAAAATTGCCACAATAGCGACCCTAGGTACTAATCAGGACCCAACATTAATGAATAGGTGACGTTGGGATGCAGCTGGGTGAGTTTGCTCCAAGATGTTGAACAACACTCACTGACATGTCTTGCAAGCTGCAAGTCTCATCCCAGGCTCCACCCTGCTGTACGCATTCTTTTCAAAGCACGATGGAAGCAGCTCACTGCATGAAAGCTGAGGTGTTTTGGCGATACTTTGCCACTTGTTGACAAGGAGCAGAAGGGCGTGTTTGAGGCCTGCTGTTTACTTGTATGGAGATCTTATGAGATCTTCGTATGCAGTTTAATATAGTATCTTAATGATTCTTAATGTATCTTATGCTTTGTGGAGCAGGGCATTTTGCGAGCAGAAATAAGCTCTCCGTAGACAAGGTCGCCTGACTTCCGTCGAAACTCTGGTCATGTCGGTGCCGCATTTGAATTGTCACCTGCAATCCAAGTGCCAAGGGAGATCGAAAGCTCTGAATGTGATGGGACTCTCTACAGGGCAAAAGGGTCTTTCTCTCTATGCAGTTTGCACAGGGCGACTTGCGGTTTGGCTTACGCTCCGTTCAACTGATGCAAATTGGGACATCGTTCGCGTTGCTTCAAAGTCGGGTTGATTCGCGAATTTCCCAGGAGCTGCTCATTTGTGCCGAGCTCGTATCTCCACAAGCAGTCAACTTCTAGGACATTCTTGTGAATAGATCAAAATTATATATATATATGTACAAAAAATACATAAAATTACTAATTACATACTTTGTGAATTTGTTTCGGTTTCTAAGTATATAGGTGTTCCACGACCTCTATCTCTTTAGTCTTCCCGTGTC